TTACAGAACGAGCTCTAAAAAAACTTTTTCTAAGAGTTGGGGGCATATAATCTTTTAAATTCTTTTCTAGCGGGGAGGCTGTTTTGTGCTGAGCCAGCCACTTCAAGGACTTAACGTGTTTAAGAGATACAATATCCTCTTGGGCAGCCACATCCATGACCCTTTGTTTGAAACTTTTCTTGGCCTTCAGATCTGATTGGACTGGGAATTGGATGGGGAATCCATATTGTGATATGGCATTTGAGAGCTGGACAACCCAAGAGCGAGAAGGCATATTATTCAACTGCTCTTCAAAACAGAGCATGGGTAGTCTATCTGGGTCCATAGATAAGTTCTTCAGCCAATAGGTGAATACTTTAATTACTAAATGGGTTTGTATAGGGGGGTATACCCAGCTCTGCCCTTACTGCTGGAGTTGGAATAGATTTGTCCACCCCCAAGATGCATTTCAAGAAAGTGGACTGTATCTGTTCCAATAAGGGGACTTTTATATATCCCCATAGTTCTGCACCATAAGTAATCATTGGGACTATTTTGCTGTTATATACCTTTATGATTGGAATTAGAGAACCTAGGTAGCTGTGGTTGGTAAGCTGCCTGATGGAGTTGGCACAGGCTGTAGTCCTTAAAGAAATCCTCTTAAAATGTGGGAGCCAGGAGCCTGTTTCTGTAAGAACAAGTCCTAGGTATAAATAGGACTTAACCTGATCTATATGTTCTCTATCCAGGCTCCAGTTACACCTAGTCCGCCTCTTCCCAGAAACAACTACCTTGGTCTTAGACTTACTGATGTTCAGGTAGTTGAGTGCATAGTATAAACTAAACCTACACAGCAGTCTTCTCATCCCTACCTAGATGTGTGACATCAATACCATGTCATCTGCATAAATCAGAATATTTACATGTTTATTTTTAACTTCAGACATATGCATATCGGTTGAATGAAGGGACTTTGGGATATCATTAATATACAGGTTAAATAAGATGGGAGCCATAATACATCCTTGTCTGACCCCCTTGTTAGTTCTAATTATCCTTGTTAGGGAACTATGAGCTCCTGTGTGTACCCTTAGGCATGAGTTTGAATATAATGCCTTAATTAAAAAGAGGAGTCTGGGATCCATGCTCAGGTCCGTACGTTTCTTCCAAAGAAGGTCCTTGTTTATTGAATCAAATGCTAAATTGAGATCTATAAAAGTTGTAAGCAGTTGGCCCCCTTTGGCTGTATATTTTTCTATTGGATGATATAAGATAAAACAGTTATCAATGGTGGAGCAACCAGGCCTAAATCCAGTTCTTCGGGGAGCAAATCCTTTTCAATTACCTAGTCCTCGATCTTGTATAAAAGATATTTGACATACAATTTTGCTACAATGTCAATTAGACTAATCGGTCTATAATCTGAGGGGTCACTCTTATCACC